GTATGCCAACAACTCATTGTACATTAAATCCACCACTTGGACGTTGTCGTCTAGCTATTCTACAATTAATTGCTTCACTATATCTTTACCTATTAGTACTAATTTATCTAAAGCAATTGTAGATATTGGATTTGTAAAACTTCAATGGAAATTATGATTGGTTATTTCTTTCTATTATATCCCATGTAAAATATTTTTGCGCCTTATTCAAAGTTTAGTCATATGATATGCGTTGCATCGACACTTTATCTCGGTGCTAATGGGATATGACAACTCGAGTTGATGTACGTACGTACGAAGTTCTACGTTGTGGAATGATCGACTGATTGACATATGATATCTGACTATTAATTGATGGAATCGAATTCTTTATTCTATTATTTTAGTTTATTTAGCTCAATAGTGTATACACTATTGTTATATTATAGTTTATATCTTATTAGTTCATTTTAGTCATTTAAGCTATCGTATCGTTAGAATGAAATTAGATCAGCAAAAGATATAGGAAAGTATGAATCAAATCGAAAGAATATTTATATATGTTGTTAGGTAGGTATGTATCAACTAGCATCGATTCTTGTGGTTCCCATCCTACTCTTGACACTTTTGTTCTGCCTTGTAATAGTATACATCAGTCTAGGCGGTAGCTAAACTTGCTTAACACTTTTCTAATTTGACAAGAAATCTTTGACCTATTCTTGCAAATGTAAATACCTATTATACAATGAAGATATTTGTTTGTTGACAAGTAATTGATACTCAATATATAAGACAACATGATAATTCACTAGTGGATGACATCTCTGATTATGATAATGATAACATTCGTTCAAATTCACGGGAAGCATCATTTCCAAGATTGTGGGATGCACATTGTTGACAAGTGCCAACTAATATAAAACTATACTTTCTTACAGATTATCTTCCACCTATTACTATGTATATAATTAGACGATAAGTAACGGAACTTCAACATTAAGTTCCTAAACATTCCAACGTGTAATTAAACGGTGACTTGTCACATTTCGAATGTAAATAACACAAACTCAACAAGTGATCATGATAATGAGAATCATACTAGATTAATACTAGTTAAGCTGTTCACTAAATTTAAAGATATGTAGGATGGTGAGTAGTTAATATTGGTATTCTGGCCCCATTAATGAATACTTCGAAGATAGATGGTGGCTAGCATTGGAAGCCTTTAGGACGTACGTTTTATCCTATTTGGGATTCGTTAGCTGGATATATGTCTAAACATCATGAGAAGATTCAAGCAAATAATACGAAATGAATTAAAAATTGATATATTTCTTTACCTTCTAACTTAGCTCATATGAAGCTACAAACTATTTGTCATCAGGTTTTGAAGTTCGCGTAATAATCTGCTAACTACTATCTATCAGTTCATCTATAAAAGTATAGTTTACTTTAAGGTCAACAAGAACCAATCAATATCAAGGACAATCAATGAACACATGTGGAGAATTCCAACAATTCACTTTTACAGATTGAAATCATGAGTCAGTTGAAGCTGGACCACCATTGAAAACCTGGAAGCACTGGACGGCCGTTTCGTCCTAGTGTGGGACTCCTCAGCAGTGCGCATCCACGATCCCGCACCACGCGGTGCTCGAACCCAGGACCTACTGCTTCGCGCGCGAGCACTTAACCACTAGACCACTGAGCCGGCATCCAACGGTGTTAAGTCTAACTTCAACAATCCACGAAGTTGCGCCACCGTACACCATTGTCTTCAGTGAGTTACTATCTCACAACAGACCTGGTTGAACTCCACCTGGTAACGGCTTCAATGGTGGTCTAGCTTCAACTGACTCATGATTTCATCTGTGAAATTTCTAAATCTCCACAAAACCATTTGATATTCACTTTTACTTGAAGTTTATGCGATGATGTCGTTCAGAAGAACGATGAAATCTCCACGATCAGACCATCCATCTCAGAGAACAAAGCTCTGTGATAATCATTCACCTGAGCTACAATCTTCTCCACTATCTCATTAAAGTACATTTTTTTTTCAGGAATATTATTGATTTTTATTGAATTGAACAAACATTATTGTATTTCCTTC